AACTGGACACAGTGTGGTTGGGCCTAGCCAATGTCGTGTTATTTGCTTCCACAAGTAATCTTTTAAAGTGTCAGCTTTTGGATTCTGAGTGGGAATGTAAAGACAGAGTTAGAGCTGGCATGTAAAAGAATATATTCCTTGCCCTTTCCTGACATACACAGGTGACTTGACCAGGCATTGCTAACTGCTTTCTGTGGGATATGAGAATAATTCATTTTCCCTTAAACAAACAGCTTTTGTTTTGCAGGGATAAACACAAGCCTCAGTTGCCACTTAGCTGGATTTAGCGGGAAGCACTTAGATTTGTAAGACATGCATCTCCACTTGTTTTTCAATAGCTTTCTGGTCCACTCTGCCACTGAAGTGGGAGCAGGCTGAAGTGGAGTCAATTCTTTGTGGTCGGGCTGGAGTACCTATGTGACAAGTACTTTCAATTTCTCTCTCTCTGTCTCTCTCATGCCCTCCCCTCTTTCTTCACTGCCCTTTCTTCTTCTTTAATGAGAGCAGTAATGCAGTGGAGTGGCCTGGTGACAATTGCCACTGTAAATAAAACCCAGCTCTTTGGGAATCCTGAATGTAGTTTGCAGAGAAATGAAGTATATACACTACTGAATAATTAGAGGTCTTTCAGAGTTGCCGTTGGGGACAAGGGTGGGAGTGGAGAAACAGTTAAGTTAATTTGATTGCAGAGTTTGAGAACATGCATCTCCTAAAGAAAGCAGGTCTTGTAGATCAGGATGGAAGCTGACCACAGTTGTTGCCTTATTGTAGCACTGAGATGCTGCTTCCATTTGTGGAGGAGGCAGCAGTATTACCAATATGATAAATACACAGCAGTAGTCTTAATTGTTGTGCAGAATGAAGAATCAAGCTATGCCAGGCTGCTGGGGAACATGGAGACCAATTCAAAGTCCTTTTTTTTACCTGCAGCAATTGAGCAAATCACAGGGCAGGAGTCTTGAGTTTACAATCTAAAGGTAGAGAACTTGAAGTTGTTGGGGTTTTTTTATGTGCACCATCTCTACTCCCTGAACAATGCTGCTATGAAGAAGATGCAGTCATATTTAAGGTTCAGTCAGGGACTCAGGGTCGGCTGGTTGTTGGAACAAAATTCAAGCCTGCCTTGTGGTTTGTCCGCTTGGCACTATCTAGGGTGCTACCTGCCTTGCTTGCTTGCCTTAAGCTCCACTTTGCCTGACTTCACTTATCCTGACCTTCCTTCTGCTTTGTCTGATCTAGAAATGCTGAAATTTGACTTGACTTTGCTTTCTGGAACATGGATTTGGACTAATGGTACACAACCTTGTGTTCCTGAAATTATGCCTCTGCTTTGGGTAGTACCCCCATCTCCTGGTCGAGACCGCATTTTGTGACAAAACAGCAGATCATTCTGGGAAGTGTTTCCCCAAAGACTTCTTTTTCTTTTTTGAATGAAACTTGAAGACATAAATAAAATTTGCTCAGTCATTTCCCAGAACAACGGTTAAGTATAGGTATCTTCCTTGCAGCTGTGGTATCGCCCGGTTAATGCTGTGCCGTGACACACACATACACCCTCTCTCTTTGTTCAGTGGTTTTGACACTGGCAATTCTGGGGTTCTCACACACCTGTCAGCTGTGTGGCAGCCTGCATCAGGGAACATCTGGTATCCAAATTTCCTCTCTTGAGATGCTGTCAAAACCCATATTTTAGCAGAATTTAATTCACTGTGCATTTTGGCACAGCCTTTTAGCTGATTCACACCTCTCAGGCCAGTGCTTGGATCAGAATGTAGATATGTGGATTATTCCATTGTTATGGGAACATTTCAGCTTGAAAGTGGGCATTCTGAGTTGTGACTCAACATTTGTCAAATGCTCTCCCAAGTGAAATGTGCCTGGCACCATCATTGTTGCAAAAAACATTTCTGTTTACCCATGCATTTGCTCGTTAATTGAAAAGAAGGTTAATTGCAGGTTTGCTTGAGAGCTTCCCATTGCAACATCTGATTAGCCACCATGAATACAAAGTGCTGGACTAGATGTGCTCTTCTTATGTGAGTTGCATCTTTTGGTCTTTTTAGTGCTCATCTTTAAAGCAGGGTCTGAGGCAGGAGTAGTCCTACCTGAATATGCCAGGGATTGCACCTGGGACCTTCAACATGCCTATGTCAGGTGCTCTACCACTGAGGCATGGCTCCTTCCCCCCTTGATAGCCAACGTGTTGCCCTCCAGATGTTGCTGGACTACAACTCCTATCACCCCTGATCACTGGCCATCTAGGGGCCCCACACTGGCTGCAGCTTCTGTAAAGAGTCCACTATGATCTTATGGAAAATTCTGCCAACTAGTTACATGCTAGAGCCCTGAAACATTTTTATTTTTCAGCAAGTTTTAGTACACTTCTCCTCACCCCCCACAACCTTGCATGTGAAGTGTCAACTGCCTCAGATGATTCTCCACAGATAATTCTTTCTCATGATTTAAGATGCCCTTAATTGCTTTACTGAAGGGAGAGAGAGCACCTTTTAACCAAACAGCTGAGCGATTTGCTATGACAATTCTGCCACTGTGCATTCACTTAATTTCCAATTAATCAAACATTCAATAAATCATTAGTATAATTACACCTGCTCTGGCTTTTCCTACCCACCCGCCCCCAGCCCCCCAGCCCACCTTCTGCACATTAGCTATGCTCAGTCAGGTTCCTGTTCCGGCAGCGTAGATGGATTCATTTTGCCTGACCCAGTTGGTTGCACGTCCTCATGAGCCTTGAAAAACGATGGGGCAGAAATTTTAATTATTTATAGTGCCACAAGTTTGTGCGCTCTCTCTCTCTCTCCCCCCCTCTCTCTCCCTCTCCCGCCAGCTCCCTTCCTGCTTCTCACACGAATGCTCCTGCAGCAACTTAAAACAAACATCAGTGCAACAGTGACTGGTTAATTTCTCACGCTTTTTTAATCATTTTTATTCCCCTACTGTGCCACTTTTCTAATTACACTATCTCCCCAGGTGTGCAATAATTCCCTCATCACCATATATCTCAAGTACAGATTATTAAAATAATATAGCTTGTGTCACATAAACGTAGCAGAAAGTATCTTAAAGAGGCTTTATTGAAAGCCTGTAAATTGTTTTAACAGAATAATGTTTTAAAGGGGTGTGTGTGTGTGTGTGTGTGTGTGTGTGTTTGCACAAATTCAGATCCTTGGAATGACCATGCTTCCTTAGTGAGTTCTGACTGGAAAAGGTGTAAAAGGAAAGTAAAGTAAAAAGGAGTCTGCATTAGCACCTGCAAAGCAAAACAACAACAACATTGGATCTGTACATAGGGCTGCAACTATGGATTGCTCTGGTCAAAATATATGAAATATACCCTTAAGACTGAGTGATCTACCCTGTTGAGTGACAGTATCTAAAGAAAGGCAAGATCCAAATCGTACTCATACACAAACAGAACTGGGCATTGTGAGTTTACTAGAAATAATTTATGGATGCCTGGGCTTCGCTTTCTCACAAATGTTCTCTCACAAACACATGTATACTGAGAGCATAGCAGAGGTAACTGGGACTCGCTTCATGCTCCTTGTCTGGCTCCCAAAATGTTTGCCTGGTTGCCACCCACCTGATGTTACCCATTATTATGTTTTGTTGTAACTGCATCTCAGCCCCAATCCCAATAACATTTGGTGCTACCTGTTAAGTGCACACGTACACTAGGGTCCAGAGCCCTTGCTCGCTTTGCTCGCCAGCCCTGCCTACCCACCACATCCTGCCAAACCCCGCACCCCTTTCCAACCTCATATATTGACACCTCACTCAAGCCACACACACCCATCTCCTCACAGTAGCAGCTGATGAGGCAGTGCTGGCAAAGCTCTGCTGCTCTCCCAGCTTCTCACGTCACTGATGCTGACCTAGAAGGGCAGGAGGGAGCCACAGGCAGTATGGTGCATGGTAGAGGAGTCAATCTGATGCTTCTGCCACCATGTATTGCAGCAACCCCCCCCCCATGCCTCACTCCCCCCACCTGTTGGTAAGTGGCAGCAACTGATGGTATTTGGAAGTGCTTTCTCCCCTTTGCTCCCCATTTTGCTCACTTGCTTCCTCTGCTTGCCTGGGCTTCCTGTTCACTTACTCCTCCTGCTGTTTTCCTTCCCTTGTTTGCTTTCTTATCTGCACCTCTTAATGAAAACATTAACCATTGGTGCCCCCTAGAATCAGGACTCCATCCTTGTTCTAGCCTTTTCTGCACCTGAGAAGATGGGGAACCAGTGGCCCTATTGGAAGATGACCAGACTGGTCTTAATAAGGATAGGGTGAGCAGCTACTTTCATTCCATTTCACTTTCATAATTGCTCAATTGTTCTGTGTCCTCTTGCATGGATTTTTCATAAAATAAAATAAGCACACACAAAATTTGCCTTTAAATTATACACACTTTGAATCCAAAACACATTTTTTCCCATTGTTTCCAATGAATTCATCCATAAACCATGTGGCTTGAGCACATGTTCCATGTGAAACAAAGATGTATATTTGCACCCACTTTTTATGGTATGCTGAAAATGCATACCAAATGAAGTTTTTTACCTGTTTACGAGTTGCATTTCCACCTGCAAGCCAGTTCAGTATTGGGTTGGTCTATTGAGCAAAGAAGACCAAATGAACTTATCTTGCATCTCTACTTGTGATCTAGCCAGAAAACTCTTAAGATGGAAGATCGCAAAAGGACTCTGCATTGCTTCACCCAAAGGAAACTGGTTGCATCCAATGTTAGTCCTACTCAGGGTAGACCCATCAAAGTTAACGGGTATGGCTAACATAGGCTAATTAATCTCAATGTGTCTATTCATAGTAGAACTTAGTTGGATACAACCCAATGACTACAGTGGATAGGGTCCCTTCCACTGTGACTTGCATGGTATACAATAGAGTCTTTGAATCTTACCTTCTGCAATGCGGCACTGGCACAGATTTTCCTTTGCAGTTTACCTGTGAAGGAGCTTTGCTTTAACTGTTGATCATTTTAATTAGATAGTAAGCATCGTGTAAAAGCAGGATAAATACATGGCACTTTGCCTTCTAAATCAGGAAGCAGCTTACACTGGGTAATAACTTTTGAGACTAATAGATGCTGTTATTCGCTCACTCCCCCCCCCCCATCATTCCAGACCCCAGATTATTTAAAACAGTTAACTGTATCACGTTTGGGTAATCTGCAATTAGGTGATTTGTCTGAGCAATCGAAAGGAAAGGCACTTGCTCATCAGCACTCTGTGAATTGATGTGGGCATTGCTTTCTTTCCCTCTTGTTTTAATTTCTTTACTCTCACCCCCTCTCCCGTTCACTGCAAACAGATGGATACGTTTGCTGCAGCATCAGTCAGCAAGATCTCCAAAAAGTACCGCAACATCTGTGCAAGGGTTGAGCTTTCTCAGAACTAAGTGAATGTTGTTCAACTGCAGTATTTCATTTAACAGCAGCAACAACAAGCAACAATGGGAGGGGGTGCCTTATGGGCTCTGTTTTGACCTAGAAATTCTTCTCCATAACCACCTAGTTAATTTAAGGAGGAAGGAAAGCAGGAAAATGCAGGACTAAGAGATCTGGGAGTTTGAAAATCCCATCAACATTAACAGCTAAACACAACTCCACCCGGTAGTGTGTTCTGTCAATTTATTCCTATGTGGCTTGGAGGTGGAACATATGCTTTGCATGCAGAAGGCCCCAAGTTCAATCCACAGCATCTTCAGGTAGGGCTGGGAATGTTCCCTACCCGAAACCCTGGAGAACCACTGCTAGTCAGTTCAGACCTTGCTGAGCTAGATGGACCAATGTTGTGTGAGAGTAAGCTTACTGTGTTATGCTTTGCTTCCATGTTGGCATGTCATCTACTTCTCATCTTGCCATTGGGAATTTATCTTGCCCCCTATTTGAGGCAGGGGTGGGGAAACTCAAGCTGGAGGGCCAAATGCAACCCTGCAGGATTCTGTGCCTAGCCCTTAGGACTCAACAACAACCCTTAGGACCACAACAACATTTCTACCCACACCCCCTCTTTCCTAGGCCACATCTCTCACCAGCCTTGCTTGGATCCACCCTAGAGTGTTATTGCTTGGCTAGGATGTGTCCTTAACTCAGATAATGCCCCTTGCTTGACTGGTTGGGAAAAGTGTATGTGTGCAGGCACACATATGTAGAAACCTCTGTGGTTCACGTGGCTGGAATGTAGCCTATAGTATAAAGTCACACCCATTGCTCTGTCCACTGTAGCCCTCAGCCCTGACCACTGGTGCTACGCGACTCCTGGAAGGTTGGACCTCTTGCTGAATCTGGACCGTTTGCTGAAAAACTTTTCCCCCAGCCTTGTTCCTAAGGTTTAATTCTTACTCTTACGCAGGAGGTAAACATGTTTCTGGGATGTTCCAGTTTGTTATTTATTTATTTGCTAATCATTTTTATACCACCAGCATTAAGAACAAATATACCATAGAGGTGTGCAACATAAAAGCAACAATAAAACTACATTAATAAAGCAAGTACAAAATACATAGCAAATCAGCATAGTTATATCACCCCTCGGAATGTCTGGTTGCGGGTGTGCAGCAGCTTGCAAGGATGGAGAAGACTGCAAGATTTAATTGTCTTCCATATGAAAACAAGAAAAAGCACTAGCATTGCAAGGGAAAAGGTCCTAAGTTAGCCTTCTTGACACACTAATTTTGTGGGCAAGATGTTGCCGCACATGGAAATGGGTGAATCTGTCAGTTTCGGTTTATCTCCCCTGCCCCTCAACCTTAAATTCAGGTCTCCATAAGTTTGATACTATTATTTTAAAACTCTGTGAAAATTCAAAAGCATTTTGGTTAATTTCCCCCCTAATACACACATTTTTGAATGCAATGTTGCCTTACGCCATTCTTGCAGAGCCATTTTTCTAAATATAATGCATTTTTATTTGTTTTATTCACTAATATATACATTTATTTGCACACTTTCTGGAGGTGTGGAAATTTTGAGGGGTGAAGCTTGCCTCTTTCCTCCCCTCTGAAAGTGCAAGTTAAGTAAGTCCGCCTTTAAATAAGAACTGAATGGAATCCGCTCCCTAATCACACATAATTATTTATTGCTGCTGATACCTGCTGCTCATTTGCTTGCCCATAGAACCACCTCTGAAAGGCACTCACCCTATGCTTTTCATTCTTTCTCACACTGCTTCCTTGCTTAGAGAGGCCAATTGGTCAGGGAGCCTCAGGGCAGGAGGCTGCAGCCAGCCCCCTATCAGAATGTTGCCATCAGCAAGTACCAATCTATACAAAGTGCTGCCCCCAGAACTGCAAGTTTATCCTATCTCTTTTTCCCTTTTAGGATGCAACAATATTTTTATTTTTATTGGGAGTCATCACTGAATAGGTGGATCAATGCATCTGGTTTAGTATAAGGCAGCTTCCTCTGTTCCAAATATGTACAACAAGATGTTTTGAAACTTCAACACTTTATTTAAAAAAACATGGTGGCAGAAAGTAGGGCCAGTTTACAGTTCCTTAACGTACACATAACCTTAAAAGTTCACATGACTGTCACTCAGCTCTTGAAGATAAATTCTGAGTGTCCGTCCTCTTTTTGGAAACCACTTTGAGGTTTTGGTTTTTTTCTTCCACCAGCAGTACATGGATATCATGAAATAAAATAAATAAATATTGCCTGCCTCCCTCTTCCCATATGAAAAACAAAAAAAAACAGAGACTACTTATTTAGTATATATGCAGTATAAGAAGAAAAATGTGTGCCGTATTTCACCTAAGGATGCTTTGCTGATTTAAATAAAGCTTTGCTGTCAATGACAAGGCACATATTCTCCAGAACAAAACCTAAACCAGAAATTAAAGCAACCAAATGCAAGCAATATTGTAGATGCAAGGGCATAGAGCACATATTGGAAGGAATATGAAATGCTACATTTGATTAAATAAGTAATGCTTGCTTACTACACTACAATCATGTACAATACTTCTCTCATTTTTTTCTGTACTAGATTTGTGCTATGTCTCCTGTTCACAGGAGCATGCAAAAGCCTTTCCTATCTAATACTCGTAGAAGAGATAAACAAAGGCAGTCTATAACTCGTGTTTTGTTCTGTTCTGTTTTTAAATAGCAGTCCAGAGACTTTAATATCCATCAGTAGCAACAGAAATAAACTAGTGGTTGCGTGAGAAAGAAGATCATTTGCAGCTTTCTTGGTATACATACCTGCCCCATATAATTTTGTGGATCCACCAAAAGCTGTGCACATGCCCCCCCCCCTCCACAAAACACAACTTTGTTATTTTGCAAAACCAGGAGGTGGCAGTAAATTTCTTTTTATGGTTATTATTAAAAACAAAAACCCAAAAAACTTGCGGAGTTATCCATAAAGAAGTGCCTGCACTCCCCCCCCCCGCTATCCTTATGATTGACTGTTTTTAATGGGGTGGGGGTGAGCAAGAAAGTTAATAAATCTTAGCTTTATTGTCTAGAGAGAGTTTTAAAATGTATTCCTACCACTTTTAAATGCCTAGGAGGGGTTCTAACACAAGGTCCGTCTGGTCTTTGAAAGGCAGTTCATTGTTCTTTGCATTAAAGGTATTAAAAATTGACAAAATTAGACGGGTCTCCATTTTTAGAACAAACAAACAACAACAACAACCATCCACAAGGGTCCTTAGATTTTCATAATATATTTACCACATATTTCATGAAGAGACGTAGCTCAGTGGTAAAGCACATGTTCTTGCAAGCAGAAGGTCCCAGGTTCAGTTCTCTTGTTTCCAGGTAGGGCTAGGAATGGCCTGGTGTGAAACCCCAGAGAGCTGCTGCCAGTCAGTGTAGACAATACTGAGCTAGATGGATCAATGGTTGTATTCATGTTAAGGCAACTGCCTATGTTCATATGCAGCTTCCTTTTTTCTTTTAAATGGAAAAACAATAGTTCTGCATGGAGGTCTGATATAATAGTTCCTGGGTGGCACATTGAAGGTTGTGTCCTTTTGACCATTTTGAAATACATAGTGGTCAACTGCTAGGTGAAAATGGGGGTGGGGGGCAAATTCAGTCTCCCCTTTGCTACCCTCCTGCACAGCTGCTTGGTGAAACTTAAGGTTTCTTGTAAGAAATCACATGGCCACAGCCATGAGTTGTATTCGTTTGTTGAATTGCACGCACAAACATCATCTAAGCCATAGGTAGGCAAACTAAGGCCCGGGGGCCGGATGCGGCCCAGTCGCCTTCTCAATCCGGCCCATGGACTGTCTGGGAATCAGTGTGTTTTTACATGAGCAGAATGTGTCCTTTTGTTTAAAATGCATCTATGGGTTATTTGTGGGGCATAGGAATTCATTCATTTTTTTTCTTCCAAAATATATCCCCTCACCACAAGGTCTGAGAGACAGTGGACCAGCCCCCTGCTGAAAAAGTTTGCTGACCCCTGAGATTCCAAGCTAAGGATAAGAAGTGCAGAATCCTGTTTCCTTGCACTCACGTCTTCTGGCTGCATGGGTATGGGTGAAACTAAGCTAGTTTAGGTCTGAGATAAATGGTGGGCAACTCAAGAGATTGAAGAGGGGAAAAGAAGACCTGCAAGCCACTTCATGGGCAGTGGTGCAGCTAATAAGCAGCTGAATGTGTTTTGGGTGTAGTCAATGAAGAGGCCAGTAGTCCTTTTATTCCCCCCTTTAATTTAAATAACATAAATAACTTACTGGAGGAAACTGAGAATGCCAAGGAACACTTTATACAGACCTTCCAAGTGTCCCTATTTTTAGGGACGTCCCTGATTTAGAGAGCCATTCCAGTTTCTGATTTGACCCCGGAATATCTCTCTTTTTCTGAGGATGTCCCTTTTTTCATTGGAGAAATGTTGGGGGGCATGGAGTTATGCAACCCTCAAGACATCTGAAGGCACTCCAGTATAGGGAAGTTTTTTTTAAAAAGGGTGAATGTTTTATTATGATTTTTTTATATATGTTGAAAGCTGCTCAGAGTGACTGGGGCAACCCCATAAGATGTGTGGGGTATAAGTAGTAAAATTATCATTATGGAATGGGACATCCCTATTTTAATCAGAGAAATGTTGGAGAGTATGTTTATAGAAAGCAGCAGTGGGAAGTGGGGTCTTGGTTTCAACAGTGAATGCTAGCCCACAGCATCTAGAGGTGCTGACAAGCATAGGGATAGCATACTTCCTGTTGCCTTTTCCCAAGTCTTTTAGGAGATGATGATGATTTATTGAATTTGTTAGTCACTTTATTTTGTCCAGGGCAACCCAAAGTGAATTATAATCAAGCCCCCACCTCCACCCACATAGGTACATTAAAAGCAAGAGGAAAAAATGCTACCCACTTCTAAAAGTACACAGATAGTTAAAGGCCCCGGCCCTGGTTATGCAGGAAAGTTTTTGCTGGGTGCAGAGAGAGAGAGAGAGAGAGAGAGAGAGAGAGAGAGAGAGAGAGAGAGATGAGCCTCCTTGGGGGAAAGCATCAACAAATAGTAAATATCCCACCAGCCCAAAGTGCTGCAAATTTCCCAGACACTTTCAGCTAGAAAGAATTTTGATTTAATGCAAACCTATCTAATTCACCTTTCCCAAAACAGTATGTGAGCTGCAACATAGCTGTCTTTTGAAATTCATACTTTTCTGGACTTTGCAATGCTGTGCAAAAATATTGTATTAAAAGCATATATTGCTGAAAATAAGGCACACAGACACGCATTATAACAGGGAAAAATACATACAAAAATCTGTATATTAAGAGAGATGTGCACTAAAATGGTGGTTGATTTTTGTGGGGACATATTTTGGGGATGGGAAGCAAACTGATACGGGAATGTAGAGAACTGAACATAAAATGCAGAGAGGGGAAGAAACTGAGAGAAATTAAAATTGACAGATTTGCCCATCGCTAGATTAGACAATACTGTCGCCACTGATCATCCATCCTTATTTGCTTGTAGTATTTTCACACATTGTTAATCATTCCTTCATTTCATACTTTTCAATGCACCCCTTTCACCTTCTTAAGCACAACATTCTGTTTCTTTTTTCTTTCTAAAGTGGTTTTGTTGTGCTGGGGCAACAGAGCCCCTAATCCACCATAATTGCACAAACCTAAATTTCATGATATGTTCTTGAATCCCTTCTGTAAGACACTGATAGTCTGAAGGCACCCCCTGAATCTCCAAATTAAGGCTGATGTTCTGGGTATTTCGAAACATGTTTCCTACTTAGCTTCCTTGGATTAAACCCAGTGAAGATATCAAACTAGACTATGCTACTCTTTTACCACACTGCTCCCCTCTAAGTTTCTGCGCTCTCCCACAGAGACTGCTTAGTCTCTGAAGTGTGTTAGCTTCTCTTATAAATTATAATGGAGCCTGGTGTCCTTCATTAACTGAGGGACTCTTGGAGAAACCAGGCACATGGATAGTTTTGCAAGCCCAGAAATGCTGTTTACTGTGTTTTCAGGTCCATTTGTGCTTTGAGGACATGCTTCTTCAGGCCCTCTGAAAAGCATTCTGAGTCTTGGCCAGATGGTTCCTCAGTAAGAAAGTTGCTGAGGATACTCAGGAAAGCCAGCAGTCATCCTGTGCCTGACAACACGAGCACCCAGCAGAAATATATTGAGCGTAGCTTTTGGAGGAGCATTTTCAAAATCTTTCCAAGACAACTCCCCCCGCCCCTCTTTCCTTCTTCTTCAAAGGCTTGTAATATCTCCATTTAAAATGTGTTTGGTTGCCAGTTCATGATCCACAGTGCACCAAGCTCAATAATGGCTTAGCTCATCTCGAGTACAAATTGCTCTTGCAAAATGCATAATGTGTGTTTGAGTACAGTTATTTATTGTTTTTATTACTGCTGCTATTATTATATACATTATTGCAGCATGGTGCGCTCAAGGGAGAGGAACGCAACACAATGTTTGCATTACAGGAAAGGAACACTGTGTTGATATCTGCTTTTGTGGGCTTCTTTGAAGTTTTTGGGAAGGGAGATATATTTCAAATTGGCTTTTTTAAACAGAAAAATATCAAGAAACAGCATTTCAGAGCATGTGTGGGAGGTATTAAAGCCTTAATCCAGTTTTACATTTAAATCAGTGCTTGGAAGGGGAGGGGGGTTATTGTGTTTGCAAGCACACTACCTTCTCACAATATTTTTATGCGTAGACCTAAACCTGCCCTAACTTGGTTTACACATATTGATCACACTCTTTGGAGGAGAAGGAGAGAGAAATTGTTTGGTTTATACCACAGTGCTATCCAGTGCTTTTTTATTGTAGGAAAAATAGTGCCAGTACTCACTATGAAGTTCAGTAAGTGCCACACTTTTAACATTGGTGTGTGTGTGGGGGGGGGTAATGGTGCTGGTGCTGCAAACCAATGAGTACCCACGGGGGGGGGGGAGGACTGGTGCTATCCCCATGCACACTGCCCTGTTGACTATATTAAAGAAAAATGGAACATTGCTATAGGCCAACGTTCCCAGACCACATGCAAATTGTATGCAAATATGTGTCCTTTTTTGGTGGTGCAAGAGTGGACACTTCTGTGCATGTATATCCATCGTCATCATCATATCATCATCATCTATCTAGGTTGTTATTCTCTTCTCCCAACACGCACCTTGGGCAGAAACCCTAAATATATTTCCTAGAAACAAAGTTTCCTTGAACTCACTGGGTTTTATTTCA